GGCAGTGTTTCGTTCTGCTGTGCATGGGGTCGCTATGAGTCGGAAACGACTCGACGGCACTTAACAACAACAACAACATTCTAGTAAAGCAATAAACGTGGAGGCATAAAGCCATTTCAGAAGCTATAACTCTCTTCTGTTTATTATTTATGTTTTTTTCATTTGCCTTCCCATAGGAGTCAGCAATAAATTATTTACAAGTGGTCTATGTGCTTAAATTTGGGGGCAATAAGTAAGTTGGATGCTGAATATCTTGGAAGGGAGAACTCCTGAGGACAGACTGAATGGACATACTGATGAAAAAGAAAGTTGGCAATCTGGGCACCTGTGTCAAAGAATAAAATGGAGAATGGGAAGTTGGCAGTTTTTTAGACTGGATTGGAGTCTGAAGATCTCCATCTCCATTTCTGGACCTTTCTTCAAATGTAACCTCCACCAACATGGGGGAAAGGCTGAGTAACAGGCACCCTTTGCATCATGGCCTCCCTTACTAAGCTACCAATACTCTTCAAACCAGGAAGCTCTTATCTACTTATCTAAGGAATAATGTGATAGTCTTGCTGAAATAGTTTCACTTGGAAAGATTTGAAAGCTGTGGAATTTACTCTAAGTATGATAAGGAGCTCTGGTAGCATAGTGGCTAAGACACTTGCCTGCTAACCAGATGGCTGGCGGTTCAAACCCACCAGCCACTCCTCGGAAGGAAGGTTGGGCAATCCTACTTCCGTAGTGATACTGCCTCGGAAACCCAAGGAGGGGTCGCTATGAGTCGGGGCCGACTCGACGGCACATAACAACAACAACAACAACATGATAAGATTGGTGCTGGTAGAGAGCCTTTTCACTGACACATTCTCCTTAATCACTGACTTTTCTGAAACAGGAAACCAGAAAACATTAACTTTCATTGGATTATGTAAGTCTGGAGTCATGGAAAGAACATTAGGTGGTGGTTGGAAGATATAAATTCTTAATTTGAATTTGTTTTGTGACCTATAACAGTGAGATAACCAACTTCCCTAATTTCACCATTTTCAATCTAAAAAGGAGGATCTGTGACCTTTTTTTTGTCTCATCAAGACTATGTTCTGACACAGTCACAAAAGCCAAGGTCCTCAGGGTGAATTAACTTATGATCAAACTCAAGAATTGTGATGGACAATTTAATCCTGAGACTTGACAGCACTCCTGATTGGAGGACACAAGTTTAAATTTCATTCGACAAAGTCAAAATTTCAAAGGGACTCATGCTGACCCTAGAAATATTCTTGCTATGCACTTTGGACCAGTTCCCAAGTGCTAGCATAGACTGCATACCTACTTATTTTTAATATGTAAATCCAGTCCAAAATTTAAAAATGATATACCTAATGTGTCTCTTTTTATTCAAGCTTTAATATAGTTTCAATATTCTAATCTAAATCATCTCAATTTTCTAAACTCTATCATAGTCAGTACATTTGAAACACCTTGACTGTCATTTGCTCCCTGGTTCCATCTTTTTTCTTTTCCTCTCCCTCCAGACACTTGTTTGTGTCTGGAGGGAGAGGGAATCTTGCTGGTTCAGGAAAGCACAAGGCTGCAGAGCTAGAGCAGCCTGACCCCTAGAGCCAGCAACTGGGTTTGCATTTCTCTTTATACCACAGGTTCCGATTTTTTCAGCAGAAAGATAATAATCAAGTTTCTGTTCTCCAAACTAAGCAGAGAGAAATTGGAGGCTACTGTAGAGAGGATAACGTGGATAAGAACTGATTCCTGAAGGACAGGTTCCAAAGATAGGCACTTGGGACATTGCAAGTGGTTTATACACACCCTTTGTCGAACTTGGTACATGTTGTGTGTCAGAATTTCCCTCATGGACTCCACATCTTCAGGGGAAAGCCTCTTAGTTCCTTGTATCCTCTGGGCCCTGAAAACATCATTAGAAGGAATCCAGGTATTATTCTTCCATCTTAGCAAGAGGTGTGGAGATCTAAAACTCCTGTCTTTACATAATGTTTCCTTATGGCCTTAATACTTATTAAATTGTATAAATTTTACTAAAACTAAAATTAATTATTTAATTACTTTAGCAAATTCATCTGAAATATTAAAACATGTTCTGATATTCAAACGTAAACTTACAGTTTCAAATACATGGTTCCTTAGCCTATAGTTTTTATGTGGAAATTATTCTAGCCATTTAAAAAAAAATAGATTTAAGGTGGTGAAAGACCTTGAATTAAGTTGTTTTTCTTCCTCCAAATTTGTCAGGAACTGACACATTTATAAAATACAATAAAAATACAATATTGAGCTCTGGTAGCATAGTGCCTAAGGCACTGGACTGCTAACCAGAAGGCTGGTGGTTCAAACCCACCAGCCACTCCTCAGAAGGAAGATGGGTCAATCTACTTCCGTAGTGATACTGCCTCGGAAACCCAAGGAGGGGTCGCTGTGAGTCGGATCTGACTCGACGGTACATAACAACAACAACATATATAATATATATTGTATATAAATATTGTATATGTATATAAATATTGTAAATAAAATACAATATTATTAGAAAATAAAAATTTCAAACGGTATAATGAAATGAAAACCAAATGTTTTATTGTTAGAATCAAAAGAAATAAATTTACTAGCCAAAAGCTCTCACTTCTCTCCTTATTTCACTGCAGGCAGGTGACAAACTGCTCACTGACAAATATCACTGTGTAGACTGCATTTTAAGTACCATTGATCCAAGGAAACGTTAAAGTTTTATGAGTACTTTTATCTGGCAATTGTTCCTTTAGAGATTTTCTCTTAAAAAATAATCATAACAAGCTAGAATCATGTTTACCAAGGGAATTAGACCATTCTCACCATGAAAGCCAGGCTAAGCTTTGAGACACTTTATGTGAGATTCTAAACACAGGCCACTCATTGCTTCAGTGCTGAGCACCTCCACACATTTCCTTCACCATGAGTCCCCCTATCTCCATAGTGCTCAAAATCAGGTCATGCACAGGTTAGCAGTCAATGTACAATTGTCCTCTGGGATTACAAGTCATAAAATTGCTATGTTCAGAATTCTCATGTGTCAAATATATTTGATTTCAATCTAGCAGCAGTAGTTTTTTGTTTCTATTTTTTTAAAATAATAATAAAAAAAATCTTTTTGTAACATGGATAATATATAGTCACTGTAGAAAATAAGAAAAGGAGAAAATTAACCCCTCCTTTTAATGCTATCAAGGAGCCTTGGTGGCACAGTGGTTATGTGCTTATCTGCTAACATACTAGCCACTCCACAGGAGTAAGATGTGGCAGTCTGCTTCTGTAAAGATTTACAGCCTTGCAAACTCTATGAGGCAGTTCATCTCTGTCCTACAGGGATGCTATGAGTCAGAATTGAATCAACTGCAATGGGTGTGGTTTGGTCTTTTAATACTACCACCTCTCTTAACATCTTGGTTTACATCATTTCCGAGTTTTTCTTTTTCTTTTCTTTTTTTCCAAATGGCTGCTCTTCTGAATGCAGGAGTGAGTAGAAGGATTAAATATCTTCTTGCAAAAGTTCTTTGGCTAATTGATCACAAAAATGGTAATAATTAGTTTCAATATAGGCTGCCTTTTAAGTATATATTTCTAAACGTAACATCCAAAATAGTAAGAAAAGGTTGAAAGTAATGTATGCTTTGTGAAAGATTTTTAAGGGCTTGGATACTGGATATCAAGGTAACTCTAGATTTTATTTAGCAATGCTATCTGTAGACTGATTAATGCCCTTTCTACAAAATTATTGAAATTAGAATTTATATATTTCAGAACTACTAAGTCCCTTCTATTAACATTCAGTGACCACCCTTGGTGTTTTAAACATTATTAGGGCATTTCAGCCTAGCTGTTTAAATGCCCTTCAAATAAAATTTATTCTGATTTAAATACACCCCTCAACCTCAGCCCACCCTGAACAAACACACAATCTGAACACACCCCTCTGTTTATGGTGAGTGTATTCTATTGCTAAGCAGAAACAACAGCTAGTCAAACAGTTCCATTTTCTGTGTTTATAATAAAACAATCAAATAGGTAAAGTTAAACTTGACAGAACAGCAGACCTAACTTAGCACTGTCTCTGGTTTATAATTGACGATTTGGGGAAGAAACAGATTTAATTACTTCTGGCTGCTGGTCGGAATAAATAGTACAGAAATTTCAAAGGTCTCATCTCTCACTGGTGCATGCTAAGAAGCTGCAGCATAAAATTACACAGAGGGATGGTTAGTGTGGGCAAGGTGGCACCTGGAGTTCTCCATATGTACCTTCATAAGCAGAATTATTCCTAGAATGCTCATATCATGATAAAATTCTTAGAAAAACTGAACTGGTAGTAATCCCTAGATCACAAAATTAAAATTATAAACTAAAAGAATGTTGTCACTGGAACATTCAGGACAAGGAAATCTCTGTCTTTAAGTAGAAATTCTGTGATAATTTTATGGCTACTAATATCAAGCTCTGGTAGCATAGTGGCTAAGGCACTTGACTGCTAACCAGAAGGCTGGCGGTTCAAACCCACCAGCCACTCCTCGGAAGGAAGGTTGGGCAATCCTACTTCCGTAGTGATACTGCCTCGGAAACCCAAGGAGGGGTCGCTATGAGTCGGGGCCGACTCGATGGCAAATAACAACAACAACAATATCAAACTGGGAGCTCTGGTAGCGTAGTGCCTAAGGCACTTGACTGCTAACCAGAAGGCTGGTGGTTCAAACCCACCAGCCACTCCTTGGAAGGCAGATGGAACAATCTACTTCCATAGTGATTGTTGTTGTTGTTGCTATGTGCCGTCGAGTCCGCCCCGACTCATAGAGACCCCTTCTTGGGTTTCCGAGGCAGTATCACTACGGAAGTAGGATTGCCCAAATACTGCCTGGGAAACCCAAGGAGGGGTCACTGTGTGTCGGGTCTGACTCGAGGGCACATAACAACAACAGCAACAACAACAATATCAAACTAACTCTGAGCAGCTGAATCTAAACAAAATTGAATAAAATGTTCACATATCTTTTAACTGTGCTTTTTTTTTTTTTTATCAAATGCTGTAACAGTGGGAAAAGAGGCTTCAAGTCTAAACACACTAGTACATCTAATAGATGTTTCTATTCATACCATAGTGTGAATTATCAAGAGATCAAATATTACACCCTGATTCATTTAGAAGAAGCCATCTTCTTTTCATTGCTTTAGAAAATGAAATCTGTGGGAAATACACACTAAGATGACTGAAGGAGGTGCCCACTGAGTAAATACTGTGCCTCATGTGCCTAAAACAAACAAAACAACCTCAATGAGAAATAAAACAGAAACTTTCTATTTATACTGATATCTAGTTTATATGTTTAGATTTTCCCCAGGCCATGTAAGAAAGGTGAGGGTGTTTCTGTCTATTCAGTGTGTGTGGTTAGCCTTGTGTCTTTGTAGCCAGGTCACCAAGATGAGCAACATTAAGAATGACAGAATGGGAAGAAAATGTCATTACTCCCCACAACATACACATTTCCAGTATGGAAATGAACAAAAATGCCACTAGACTCTGCATTCCAGGGTCTTCAGAATAAGAATGCATGAATTTAAATGAATAGCTGTCAGTATGTGATCAATTAAAAATTTCTTACTGCACAATAAAGTTATTTTTCACTGTTTTATAAATGACAAGTTAAGGAAATTTCAAATATAATAATGTGAAATTTTATAGTGCATAATGCATATATTTTGTGAGCTCTGGTAGCATAGTGCCTAAGGCACTTAACTGCTAACCAGAAGGCTGGCGGTTCAAACCCACCAGCCACTCCTCAGAAGGAAGATGGGGCAATCTACTTCTGTAGTGATACTGTCTCAGAAACCCAAGGAGGGGTCGCTATGAGTCGGGTCTGACTGGATGGCACATAACAACAACAACAACAATGCATTTTTTTTTTATTAGGATTTGGGTGAAGATTTACAGAGTAAATTCACTTTTCATACAGCAGTTCACATATACTTTGTCTCATGTCATTGACCAAAATTTACAATGCAGCAGCTCCCCTCCCACTTCCTCCCCATAGTTACCTCCTCCCAGTGTCCATCCCTTCATACTCTTCTGCACCCTGAGAGGCCCATTGTCTGCCAACCCTGTATATGATCTTGGATACACTCTCCATTTAGACATACATAATTGTTTAGCTTGTTCACCCATCTATCCGTCCCTATACCCATGTTTGCTTTCATTGACAACTCAGTATTGTATTTGCAAAGGGGTTCATATTTGTTGTTTGTACTGCCCATGTAACTCTCTCTGTCTTTCTCATCCTCAATGCCAATGCATATATTTTATAAATATCTTAATACCCTTTTAATATTAATCAAAATATTTATGCATTTACATTTTTAATCTTAATTTTGTTCACAGTCAAATATATTTAACCAAAAGTTTACCATTTTAATCATTTTTAAGTGTACAATTCAAAGATATCAATTATTTCACCATGTTACACTCCAACCACTATTTATTTCCAAAAGGTTTATATCACCCCAGACAGAACCCAGAAACCCAGTACAGATTTAGCACTAATTTCCTCCTACCCCCAACCTGAGGTACTCACTAAAAAATTTTAATTCTATGTGTTTCCATATTCTGAATATTTCATGTAAAGAGGGATCATACAATGTTTGTAGAAGCAACACTTTTAATCGGTTTGAATCTCTATTACCTGATATAAAGTTTAATCACTCACTGGTGAGGCATAAACTATAAAAACAAACACTGCCATCAAGTCAATTCCGACTCATAGTACCCCCATTGGATTTCCAAGATGGTAAATCTTTATGGAAGTAGATTGCCCCATCTTCCTTCTGTGAAACAGCTGGGGGGTTTGAACTACCAACCTTCTGATTAGCAGTCAAATGCCTTAGGCACTGCTCCACAAGACATAGTGTCTCATATTTAAAACAATCATCAAAATACATACACTACCTATTTCTTAGCACTATTTAGAGAGTCAAATAAGATGATGTATGTAAAAGTAAGGGAATTTCGTAGAATCAACATCTTCTTCACTGTGCTATATGCAACTTCTGGTAGTAGTATATATAGTATATATAGTAGTCTCCCAAAGGTCACAGGGTTTTGGAAATTTAAATCTCTTGAAACAATTGCTTCAATTCCTGACAAAAGAAAAATTAATGTGCATTTTGCTGTCATCATCTCATACACAATAATAAAAAGAGAGCTGAGTATACAGTTCTTTTTCCTCTTATTGTATAAAGGTTTGTTGTTCAAAACATTAACTGCTTTGATCTTAGGAGAGGAATTCCTTTTTTACTAGACGTCCTACAGATTTCTGATGAGATCAAATAAATGTGTTTCAAATACTAAACACGTATTAAACATCAGCTTTTAAAAAACCCCTTTCCCACCTCAGTAAACTCACTGTTTTTGGCATTAGGAGGAAGAAAAGTCTCTTACTTATAAGGCTGTCTTACTCATCTTGAATCAAAATCTGAAAAATAATTGACTAAAGTGGGGCCTCTTCCAAATAAAGCTGGTTTAAAAATTGTCTTGAGATCAGAAACTGGGGCAATTGCTTATGACCTATGCAACATAGTGCCAAGATTCATAGTACATTTTACTACAGGATAGACTGATTCTCTTTTGTGATAAACAGCCCTACATATCTATACCAAGTGCTCACATAACTAGTAAGAAGTCCAATGAAGTCCTTACTGCTCTAAACTATCAGAACCTGTCTAGCCTCCTCCAAAACATCCAGGTAGCTGCGACTCATCCTTATGTGAGCAGACAAAATGCTGGGGACCAGATGATGGTCACCACTTCCGTTATACACTGCCTACCTCCCTATTCTGCATGAGTACATGTTCAGGTGACTTATTATTATTGTATCTGACCTTACTAGATATGATCTCCATGGCAGCAGGGACTATGTCTGCTTCCACAGTGCCTGGCCTATCATCGGTGCCCAATATGCAGTGTTGGGTCTAAGGTGAGGTAAGTGAGGCACTCACCTTAGGCACAAAATGTAAGGCATGTCAAAAAACTTCAATAAGCAAGATAAGTAATGTTTTAATGCAATATTTTATAAAATAAAGATGAGTGCAAAAAGCCACAATGAATATAATATCAAAATTTTCAATAAATAGGATCAATATTACTGATATTTCCTTTTGCCTCAGGCTCCTATCTGGTTCAGCATGGCATTACCAATAAATGTATGTAAGCACATTCCCATTTCAGTTTCAGAAGTTTCCTTAAAACCATGTAATGGGAAGCACTAAAACAAACAAACAAAAGCAACTTCAAGAAATAAGGCAACAAGCTTCCAATTTATACTGAGATCCCCTCAGGGAATCTGGTTTAGATGTTTACATTTTCCCCAAGGCATGTAAGAAAGGTGAGAGTGTTTCTGATTCATTAACATGTAAGGGATGAAGGTGTTATCTCAGAAATAACACTCAGACATTAGTGTCAGTTTCATTACTACCTATTCTTAGCTCTTCTCTCAACTTGTTCTTTAAAGGTGAAGACCTAATTGAAGCTCATGACCAATGTTTTTACCTGCTGAAGATGACAGGATGGGGGGGGGGCGGTGTTTCTTCTCCTAAATGCATGTTGTAATGACTTTCCCCAATTCTTAAACCATTTCTGGGAAGAAAACTGATCACCTTTAGGACATAAATTAATTCTTGTGACTTTGAAGGGGCTTTTGTTAAATGTCAGACCAAGTATCCTGGGAAAACCAAGGAAGCCTTAAAAGATACTTAACCACTTCTTGGGAAAATTAGTCTCCAGATACTTCAAGAGAAGTGTCGTGTTTTAAATGGAAGCTATTGTGTAATGATGGATTTATATTTTGGTATCTTCCTTCCTTATCACCTCACCTCCATACCAACTTCCTACGGCATCCTTTCCCCAGGAAGCCCTAGCCTCTTCCTGGCCTTACATAGACTCAAGTCAAAGTCTCACAATCTCACATAGACTTTTGCTTTAGACAAAATTACAAATCCAGTTTCCACTTTAAATAACCCACTAAATGCCACTCCTCACTACTACCAAAAACAAAACATAGTGAGTCCATGTGTTTTAGAGTAGAACTGCACTCCATTGGGTTTTCATAGGTATGACCTTTTGGAAGTAGGTAGCCATGTTTTTCTCCTGAGAAACCTCTGGGTGGGTTTGAACCACCAACATTGTGGTTAGTAGCCCAACACTTAACTCTTTGCACCATCCAGAACCTCCTCATTATACTACTCATCCCCAAATCCAAGTTAGCATCATAGGAGGTTGACTCTGCCTCTCCTCATTCAGGAGAGTAAGAGAAATGAGTCAATCGAAAAAAACAAATAATAAAAAAAATACAACAGTAGGAACAGCAAAGTCTAAAGAGTAGGTATTCTAAAGTAATTTTAATCAGGAAGATAAAGAGAACAGCTTATGAACTATCTTGTAATTTTGTATAAATTCACTAGCCTCTCTCTCCCCAAGAAAGGAGTCATTTAACTGTAAGTAGGTAACTTTTGCTAGGAAGGAGTTTTCAGAAAGTAGGTGAAAACATGTTGGGCATAAGCCAAGCCACAAGATGCCAAGACTTAGACAATCATTACATCATGATTTCTTCCTCATATTTCTGCCTCTTCCCTCCTAAGATTACCTTTAAATGCAATAATGATTTAGTCCCTCTTGGAATTCTGACTTTGAAAATCTAGATCAAAAAGCAGATAGGACTTACTGGTGGGGGGTCAGGAAAGCTGTGGAACTCAGTATCCCCATCTCTACCATCTCAACGGCTTGTTTCATTTCCAGCTTCTTGTACAAAGAAACAATACTTGATTTTGGCTGGTTGCTTCGGATTAGGATTTTCCGTAAGTATCTATGATCAAACTTCTTAAACCTAAAAATGAAAATTAACATTTTGGAAATCTTCAGTCTCTGTAGATGTGATGTAAGTATGTATATTTTTTTCTTAAATGTCTACTTAACTTTATTCTGAAAACCACCAAGGCAGTGCCTGGAATTCATAGCCTTTTAACACATTTACAAAAAAAAAAAAAAATCATTGTATTTATACATTTTTTTAAATAAAGAAAAAAATGGCCCACTGGCCAACATACATTGAAAATCAACTAAACAAAAGGAAGGACAAGCAGCAATCAGGGCAATAAGTGTATGTCAGTGGGAAGTGGGGGAGGTACAGCACAGTGCAGTTCCAATTGTGAGAGAAGAAATGAGGGTGGTTGCGGCTTTTGAACAAGTGTTCCATTCTAATAGCTCATAACAGCGGCAGCTGCACTTACAGTAATACTGGCCTATTCAACTAGAACCCAATAAGTTTAAATGGTCTGGTAGTTACAGTAGTTTTGCCCCATTATATTGCAGATCATTTTGAATCCTGCCAATTTAGGGGGAGAAAGGAAAAAAAAAACAAACCCACACACACATGTCCCGACAGTCTAAATGATGGAGACACTGAATAGGCTAGACACTGATGGGTGCTGACTATTGTCGTGTATTCTGGCCAGCCCATTAGGGATTGAGCTGCACGTATGCATGTGGCCGCCTTCAGAGACTGCCATTTGTTTGTAGCAGGAATTTTCAACACTTTTAATCATTTTACATTCAAAGAGTAGGTTGTTTGCCTGCTTTCTCTTCTGGAAGAGAACGTAACTTCCTGGACTGCTGGCTTATTATCTTTTGATTGATTCCCTGGTCTGTGAGGCAGTTGGACTCATTATTAGTTAAGACTCCTCCAGGTGTAACAGTCTATGATTCCCTAATCTTTTTGATTTGTGTTTGACACATACATGTTCATTCTTGCTCCAACTGGGTTACCTCTCTGCCTTCTGCTTTTCTACTCTCCTTCATAACATGCCATTGTTTCTGTTTATTCCCCAATTCACTGTCAAAACTTCTTAGTGTTCACTTCCATGACACTCCTCTCACTGAGCTCACCTTGACCTATAAAATGGGAGTCCCCAGGTGGTGCAAAGGTGCCCTAGTAGCACCATGGTTAAGCACTTGGCTGCTAACTGAAAGATCAGTGGTTTGAACCCACCCACCCACTGCAGGAGAAAGATATGACAGTCTGCTTCCATAAAGATTATAACCTAAGAAACCCTATGAGGAAGTTCTACTCTGTCTTATAGGGTCAAAATGAGTTGGAATTGACTAGATGGCAATGGATTTTTTTTTAAAGTGGTACAAATGAGCTCAGCTACAAACTAAAAAGACTGGAAGTTCAAGTCCACCCAGGGGCAACTTGAAAGAAAGGCCTGGCAATCTACTGCCAAAAAATCAGCCATTGAAAAACCTTATGGAGCACAGTTCTACTCTGACACCAAATCAATGACCATTGGTTTTATAACATTCACATCCAGTGGTCACTGTTGCCTTATGTTACTTGCCACTTTGTGTCTCCTAATGCCATGGGTCATTTCCTCATACCCTCCACACTGATTCACTCTTGCTTCCTTTCCAACCTCTCTGACCAATTCTTCTCAGTCTCCTTCTGACCTTCCTCTCTTTTAACTTGCCCCATAGGACCTAGAGCTTCTCAGAGACCTGTTCTTTGCTTCTGCTCTTCACACCCAAGCCCACAGATTCCATTATCTACTCACTAACAAGAACTTTAGACTAAATTCCCAAAGCTTCTCTAAGCATATGCGTGAAATACCTCAAATAAAATCTATTATTTAATCTCTAAACATTCTTCTAGAATTTATATATTTAACCGTAGCATTTTTTTTCTACCTCAGCTCCCAATAAGGAAACCTGAGAGTCATTCTTATTTTCCCTTTCCTCAATGCTCTCTTCTCAAGTTCACAGCCTGTCAGTCACCATGCTTATCTCAAACATCTCAGTACCTCTTCTGTTAGCTTCTTATCCTTATGGTATGAGATCTCTGTGGTTCATTTAAAATAAAAGAGATTTTAAAGTCAGACCTGAACTCAAATTATGGTTGTGCTTTAGAACAGGTTAAATAACCCCTTGGAGTTTATTCTCTCATCTTTAAAATGCGAACAATAGCTACCATACAGGACTATTTAAGAGATTACCCACTGCCATTGCATTGACTCTGACTCATATCAACGCCCATAGGGTTTCCAAGGCTGTAAATCTTTACAGAAGTAGATTGCCTCATGTTCCTCCCATGGAACAGCTGGCAGCTGATGGGTTTGAACCACCAACCTGGTTAGCAGCCTAATGCCTACCCATTTAAGAAATTATGTAAGATATAATATATGTAAACTCTAGCATGACACATGGAGCACACCTTATGTTTGAAAACTGGTAGTTTTTTGTTTTCAACTCTTAATCTATTGTGCAACCCTTTTACAGGTCTCCCTCCCACTAATGGGAACTGTGGTAGCATAGTGCCTAAGGCACTTGACTTCTAACCAGAAGGCTGGCGGTTCAAACCCATTAGCCATTCCTTGGAAGGAAGGTTGGTCAATCTACTTCCATAGTGATACTGCCTCAGAAACCCAAGGGAGGTGGTGGCAATGAGTCATATCTGACTAAAGGGCACATAACAACAACAACTCCCACTAATATGTCTTTTTAATCTAGCCTCCACATTATTGCTATGGTTTTCTTTTCAAAACTTATGTCATTTCCCTACTTCAAAGCCTTTGATATAACTTTTAAAGCTTGAATTGAATTTTATCTCATAAGTGGTTGTATAGAAGTCCTTAGCATTACATGGGTCAAAGCTTGTCTCTTGTCTCACTATATCACCCTTTCTGTCTGTCTCCAGACAATGCTATGCTCCTTTCTGCCTCAGGACATTTAAATACACTGCTATTGCTACTTGGAATGCTTACCATTCTTCTTTGCCTAGAGAATCAATAACCAGTTACTATGGAGTCAATATTGTCCCACAGATGTCAGAGTAGAACAGTGCTCCATGAAGTTTTCAGTGACGGATTTTTTGACAATAAATTGTCAGGCCTTTTTTCCTAGGTGCTTCTGAATGGATTTGGACCTCCAACATTTCAGTTAGTAGCTGAGCAAATTAACCTTTTGTACCACCAAGGAACACCTTGCCTAGAGAACTTTTCATTTATTTTCAAAAGTCACCCTCCTCCATTTCTGTATTACTATAGTTCTTTGCATATGTGAATTTTTCTGTCAATATACTGCTGCAACTGGTTTGAATTATCTTCAGCAAAATTTTACTTACAACAAACAAAATCTTGCCAAAGAAATTCAGAAATGGTTGCAGCAGTATATTGACAGAGAACTTCTAGAAATGCAAGCTGGATTCAGAAGAGGATGTGGAATGAGGAATATCATTGTTGATGTCAGATAGTACTTGGCTAAAAGCAAATACCAGAATGATGTTTACTTGTGTTTTTTTGACTATGCACAAGCATTTGATTGTGTGAATCATAACAAATTGTGGATAACATTGAGAAGAATGGCAATTCCAGAACACTTGATTGTACTCACGAGGAACCTGTACATAGACCAGGAGGCTGTCATTCAAACAGAACGAGGGGATACTGCATGGCTTAAAATCAGGAAAGGAGTGTGCCAAGGTTGTATCCTTTCACCATACTTATGCAATCTTAATGCTGAGTAAATAATCCAAGGAGCTGGACTATATGAAGAGAAGCACGTCATTGAGATTGGAGGAAGACTCATTAACAACCTGTAATACTCAGATGACCCAACTTTGCTTGCTGAAAGTGAGGATAACTCAAAGAACTCACTGATGAAAATTAAAGACTACAGTCTGCAGTATGGATTACATCTCAACATAAAGAAAACAAAAATCCTCACAACTGGACCGATAAACAGCATCACGATAAATGGAGAAAAAATTGGATTTGTCAAAGATTTCATATTACATGATTCTACAATCAACACTAATGAAAGCAGCCATCAAGACATCAGATGACATATTGCACTGGGCCAGTATGCTGCAAAAGGCCTCTTTAAAGAAGAGCAAAAATTAGACTGAGGTACATATAACCCAAGCCATGCTATTTTCAATCACCTTGTAGGCATGTGAGAGCTGGACAGTGAATAAGGAAGACCAAAGAAAAGTTGATGCTTTTGAGTTGTGGTGTTGGAGAATACTGAAAGTATCATGAGCTACCAAAAGAACTAACCAATATTTCCTAGAAGAAGTACAGCCGGAATGCTCCTTGGAAGTGAGAATGGTGAGACTTCATCTCACCTGTTTCGGTCATGTTGTCAGAAAGGACCATTCCCTGAAGAAGGATATCATGCTTGGTAAAGTGGAGGGTCAAGGAAAGAGGGGAAGGCCCTCAGTGAGACGACTGCAACAGTGGGCTCAAGTATAGCAAGGGTTGTAAGGCTGGCACAGGACCAGGCAGTGTTTTGTTCTGTTGTACATAAGGTTTCTGAGTTGGAGCCAACTTGACAGCACCTAACAACATAGTTCTTTGCATTTACTTTTTTTTTTTTAAATATATAATCACTTGTCATATTGATCATAACAATTTTTCAGGTTTTTTCTCTATTTTTCTCCCACTGCCCATCTACTAGGGAGCTCTGGTAACATAGTGCTTAGGCACTTGACTGGTAACCAGAAGGCTGGTGGTTCAAACCCACAAGCCACTCCTCAGAGGAAAGATTGGGCAATCTACTTCCTTAGTGATACTGCCTCAGAAACCCAAGGAGGGGTCACTATGAGTTGGTCTGACTTGATGGCACATAACAACAACAGCCCATCTACTATATTGTGAAGACAGGGAATGTATCTTATATCTGCCTTGATATCTGCCTAGCACCTTGTAAAGTACTCAAGATACAGATTTGATTAAATGAAAGAATATGGAATGATTTTTTTTTTTTTTTTTTTCCTGTAGGGAGAACTGTAGGGTTGGGACTTAAAAATTCATGACCTAAAATCTGGATCACTGTATTTTCAAACAATTTAAATCCTACTTTCTCACAATGAGGACTGATAAAACTGTTCTTGTTTCCATCTCATAAAAAGAACCCACCATAAAGCTCTAAGTTTTCCTTTTATCTGCCACCACCCCACAACACTCGGAAGGAAGGTTGGGCAATCTACTTTTGTAGTGATACTACCTCGAAAACCCAAGGAGGGTTTGCTATGAGTCGGATCCGACTTGATGGCAGTGTGTTTGGTTTTTGGTTTCATCCCACAACAGCTATTCTTTTCAGTTCTGGTCCCTTTGGCATTACCAACATTCATATGTTTAGGGTCTGGAGAACATGGAAGGTGAGGCCTAGAGAGAAGACATCCTTCACTTGGCTAACTCTGCTGCTGCTATCTGCTACATTCTCCAACAGCCAAATAGAATTGCAAACTCTCTCCTCTTCATCCTCAATGAGACTCTCCACAGAGTCAGATAATGAAGACACCATTCTTCCCATGGCTGAGCTGTTCTTATCATTGGAAGCCTTTCCTTTGTTCTAAGCTTACATCTAAATTTTCCCACTTCCATCCATCAGTTGTACTATTTCTTCTCTCTGAAGCAACCCAGAGCAAGGCTGTGGCCTCCTCTATCTGACAGCTCTTTGTTTTTCAGGCTGCGCATTCCCAGGACTTCCAAAAGGCTATTCATATAGCATGGCTCCCAGGACTTTTATCTTCCTAATCCTATTCCTCCAGCTTCTTTCAGTTTTATGACCAGCTCCAAAGTAACCTTTGGAGGCTCTCCATACCACAAATATTCTTTCCCAGGTAATGAAATTCTTGGCTTCCTTACTTATCTCTCACTTGGTAATGGCTCCATTGCCCACACACATCTTCAATTCCAGCTTTCAAATGATCCATCAGCTGCCAAACCAAACACAAGAAAATGATTGTGGTGAAACGTTAGTTCTGAAAGACACAGAAGGAAAATAAATACATTTTGTAAAACAAAGGTGGCTTTAATATCCTGGAGCATATCCTTTCTTCTGTCACTAAGTTCATATAGCTGAACTACATAATGCTTTTCATAATATTCAACTTAGTTTCATGATTCAAAGACTCTACAGATAAGTTTCTTGATAATGCACATAATTTGCTATGAAAACAAAGTACCTGGTACTTGCTTTGTATAATAGTTTACTGGAATGATGTAGGGAATTTCTCATCACTGAAATCACAACAATGCAAAACCTAATAATTAACTGTTAGATTTAATTGTGTTGCAAAAGAAAATAACATGTCAGTATTAAATTCACAAGTCTTTAGAAATAGAACTCCTCAGATATTCTATTACAATAATAGCATATAATACAACACTTATCTATTATACCCCATTTTTAATTTAATCATTTGCTCTAAGTAATTATATTTCACCATCCCAGCCAATACTATATTTGTTTTGTCCAAAATTACTTCTAAAAATTTAGGAAAAAAGCAAATTTTGTTCAAAGCAATTAAGAGTTAATCTCCAAAAAATTTAAATTTATAGTTATTGAGGTCTATATTGGCTTCTGAGTTTTTGAACACTAAAATAAAATACTAAGCTAATTCTTAAATGCTTTGTTGATTCTCTGTTGCAAAAAGGGCAAGGACGTGGCATCTTCTGACCTCCTCTAATTTCACAAGAGGAAGACAGTATCACCATCAGCACCCCAAAACTTATTACTATGAAGCCACACATGCTGACACCCTCCAGCCTTTTACCAACTCTGACACAAACCATCCCTCCCACGTTACTCACTGTTTCTCTGGTTGGTTCGATAATTTGTTGCAGTGACCACAAAGAACCCACAAACAATGCTCATGATTATGGGGTTTATTAGGGAAGTAACAGGCCACAATTCAGATTCAGGAACACACTCAGGATACAATTCTTTGATCAGGGCAGTCCTCCCTCTGGTATGCCCTCAGGCACACCTTTCTGGCGCTTGGCCTCTCAGTCTGGTCTCTGTCCTGCTAGGGAAAGTGTTACAAAGCTCTTTTAGCTCTTTTAGGCGCACCCTACTCCATCAGCAAGATTCCTGCCCAAGGGCTCTCAGATTTCTCACTCTGTGGGTCAGGTAAGATCTGTCTCATGCCTAGGGTTCCACTGAGATAATTTTTCTCTGCTGGGGTGTCTCTCTGCCATGCATCACTGCCAGGGAGGTCCAGTGCATGGATCTCGGGCCCAAAGATGCACTCTACTTCACCTCCAGCTCTTCTTTCTTGGTGGCAATGATATCTCATCTCTGCCTCTGGAGGACTCATTTTAAGCCTGGCAGAACAGAAAAACTAACCAGTCCCAACATCTGAGTTCTACACATCTTATTTGCATGGTTCCACCCAGTAATCCGGTGGGAGTTATAAAAATTATGGCCAGAAAAACCATACTACATCTATCTTCCACCAATAATTAATTGATTTTTTGAGAGAAAGAAAAATAAATGAGAAAGGAATGAAACATTCAAGTTTTATTGTCCTAAGTATATTATGTAATTTCTCAAAATAAAGAATCAGAGAAAATAAAGATAGTGACAAAAGTCTAGAATCACATTAAGGCACTACATTTTTAAAACATTTACTTCCTATACTCACACGTTTAATATTTTCAAATGACCTTGAAAAAATTTGGTTTGTGTTCCCTGGAATTTAAATTAATTTATTTCCTCAAGTGATTTTGACCTTCATATTCAGAACTGATTTTAGAAGCCTTCAGCAATTTCTCCAGCACCAGAATTGTAAACTCTCAGGAATGGAAGAAACCTAAAAATTATCTAATCCAGTCATCTTCCCCAAGCTTGAATCTCTTGTACAGCCAGTCTGCCAAGAGTTCCCCAATCACTGCTTGAATGCATCTATTTCAACTTTGGATGCACTATTATAATGCTCTTTCACTTACTGAGCTAAAATCTCTCATTTTATTTGCCATATATTTGTTCCTATTTCTATTTCTTGGAGCCATACAGAATGGGAGGAGCCCTGGTGGTTCAGTGGTTAAGCAGCACACAGCTGCTAACCAAAAGGTCAATGGTTCATACCCACAGGCTGTTCCACAGAAGAAAGATGTGACAGTCTGCTTCCATAGAGATTACAGCCTCGAAAATCCTGTGGGACAGTTTTACTCTGTCCTATAGGGTCACCATGAGTTGGAATAAACTCAACAACGAGTTTGGTTTTATATAGAATGACATTTTTCAAATGTTGTCTTGAACTTAAACAAGCAAATAGAAACCATGTTCAAGTTTATTTTCATCTTTCATCTGGAATTTTTTCACCAGAAGCTGCCAATGGGCTATGTCTCCAAAAGCAATAGTAGTCTTTACTCCTTCTCTATTGAAAGTTCAGAAAGAGTAGGAGACTCTATATGCCATTGGAAAAATGCTTTTAGAAGCAAGTAAGTAAGATAACTTTCAACATTACTCATGGTGACAGTCTTTAGAGGTGTAAAACCTGATTAAACTATAGTCTCAAATTTTCAATCAAACATGAATCTAAGTCTAGCTATAAAGGCATTTGTTAGCTGTGGATTAAAGTACATAATAAGTTGTTTTTAAGTAAGTAAGATTATCCTACATAATCAGAATGGGTCTGATTCAATCAGTTTAAATGCCCTAATTGCATAGCTGAGGCTCCCATGATGAAGAAGAAATCTGCATTTTGTCAAGAGTGTTAGTTCATGCTCAAGAGTCCTAGACTTTTGGATTCATTCCAAGAGGGAGGAATAGGCAGAAAGACTGCACAGACCCTCTTCAACAAAGAAAAAGGGAACCAGTTAACACAGACACAGAAGATAATCCTCAACCCCTGAGCCTTGAAGAGAAGGATATAGAAGTGGACTAAACCCCAACTAGCAGAAGAATTTGCATGAAAAAAACAAAA